CACACTGACAATCCTTTTCCACCTGGTACCTATTTACTTCTATATTCTATGGTAGTTAGGAAGGATACATCCAGGAACCACACATTAGCAATTATGTCCCTTTCCTGTCTGGAGTTTCTAGAAGAGTCTAAATGTCATATAACACAATTCTTTCTAAGATGAACAATTCAATTGTACAATCTTTATAAGCTATTTTTATAAAATGCAATACTCGGTATAGGATACAAAACTGTGTGATCTCAACTATCCACAGTGTGATCTCAATTATGCAAAAAATTATATATTGACTGGTAGGAAATAGACCAACATTTTTAAAAAGAAGGAAGAATTAATTGATTGTATAACTCTATGCAATTTAATATTATAGTTTTATTAACAAATTACTTATATAAAATTATAAATATGTAAAAATTCTTTGATAGATTGTGTGAACCCTTTTTGGTTCCAAAACAGTCACTAAAACTATAAAACCTGATGCCTTACAGAGCAAGCATCTACCTAGATTGTGGTGAATCTTCGTTGATGATTTTTTTTCTTTTAATTTTTTTTATCTTCTCACCACTGTGCTAAGAAGGACTCATCAATAATTTTTAAGATGACCTTGGAATTGAATGAAGTAGGGTTATAAGAAGATATAAACTGCCTAAGTGTAGGGAATCAGTCTATGAGGCATAATGGGGTTATTAATAAAATAAGATCTTTGGCCTCAGATACAGGTGTCACTGCAGCCTCATTTTGTGATGTTGGCGAAGATATTCATTTTCTCTCAGCATGGTATTCCTCTTGCGTTTCTCATTTCATAAATAATTAAAATTTGTGTAGTTGCTCCATGCAGATAGTGGGTAAAAATTGATAGCTTTTATTTTCCTTTACTTCTATCTCAATGTCTTCAAAATGTTAATGAAGATCAGACTCTTTTAGGTAGCTTTTTATAAAATACAGATTCTTAGGTACTCAGGGAGACTCTGATTCAGTTGCTCTGGGGAGGTCCCTGTGTTTGTAACAAGCAATTCCAATTAATCCTGTCATGGATAGTCTGAGGAGCACACATGGAGAGACAATTTTTACCTCTATTCCTTTCCTAAGCTAATTCTAGTCCCTCCCGGACTTCTTAGTAAATGTTTCTTTTTTTCTTGCGTATACAACCCTCTCCTCTAGTTGGCCCCTTCACATTGGAAGACAAAGTGTATAAAACCCCATTCTCATACTTACAATGATTTCCTTGAGGTATTCATGGCTTTTCCCAGGTCACAAATGATTAAAGGAATTAGTCCAGTTACTTTGCAGTGAGGCCAAAATTTTCAATTCTTTTGTTTGCCCTAATGGCACCATTTGAATAATGCTGCGGTTGGGCACTTTCTGCCAAATCCATACAGTTGCCTTAATATTATTTTAGCATAGCCAATCAGGTACAAGTGATAATGTACAAATTAAAAGCTTCCGGTGAGAAACTTCTTATAGTCATAGAGGCTGCTCAGCAGAGAACACAGTCTTCCTCTGATCCAAAGCCTTTGACTTCAGTGTTAATGGACAGGACATTCAGTTTGCTCTGTAAGAATCCACGACTTTTTGAAAGTTTATGCTAAACAGTGACAACTTGAGTCAGTTCAAGTTTCGCGTGGTTTAGTCTACAAGGTGGTGTCTGCAGAAGCCTCTCCATTGCCTCACTGAACAACTGCAGAAAGTGGTGTGTATACAGCTCTACAAAGAAATTTCAGGTAAGCAGAATTAGTTTGGACAGACAAAGTCTTGTTTTATTTTCTCAGCCTTTCAATTAATTAGGATCCTAGTTCTAAACAATTTTTATTTGTAAATTCATTTTTTTCCCGGCAAACCCTTGGAAGGAGCACTCATCAGAGTCTCAATGTTGAGAACTAATTTTTCAAAAATGTTTAGGACTCTGGAGCTAGGAAGTACTTTAGGAATCAACAAAGTCACTGTGTATCCTTGTGGACCAGTAGATGTCCAAATGCTTCCCGAATGACAAATGATCAATATACATGTACCTTTCTCTGCCACCTTCTAGACCCCCATCATAACACTGAGAATGAAGAAAAAAATCATCATTTTCTTGACCCCCAATCCATGCCTCTAAAATATTACTTGTCTATTTGCATAGAAAAAACTTCCTTCTTTGAGTCGGTGCCATATGGCTATAATAAAACTTCACCCTTTCCTGTTACTCTCTGCCAAATTCCTCTCCATCAATCATTGCATTTGGCACCTGGCTCCCAGACATTTCTGTCCATCAAACTCCTGTTACGTCCTGGTGATGGCTGTGATGCCTGAGCCTCCCAGTCCCTTATTGGCTTCTGCTCTACTGACTTGAATTGAAGGCAACAGACATACATCCAAAACTGATCTGCCTCTAAAATTCTAACCTTCAGAAGCCCAACTTCTGACCCCAGTCTCTAGTTCTCTATTACCATTGATATTCCTTGATCTTATAAAGTACTTTCATCCCTTCTTTCTCTGTTTTTTCCCACTTGATCGATCCCCAAACTACTTTACTTCTTTCCCCCTCTCTCCTAGGTTCCACAATTTGTCAGTTTAAAATATCTCTTTCTTATGTTGTTAAATACCTTGCTCCTTATCTTTTTGGCTGTTCCTGCCTTGAAAAACCTAACTCTGGTTTGGTTCAACTTGTCTTCTCTGCTTCTCTCCACTGGGGGCTGAGTTTGTCTGTGTGGATTAGTACCACTCCCAAATGATGGCTTCCCATCTTCACACAGTCCTAAGACATGCCTGACAATTCCTCTCCTCCTAGTCCACTCTTTCACTCCCCTAACCATTTCCCATCAAATTTTACTCTTTTTCTACACTTTCCTGGCACACTGCATCCCGTTCACTTCCAAAAGGTGACTTTTGGAAAAGAAAGGAATTCTAATTTTTTTAGAAAATAGATGTTCAAAGATAAATTCTCAACTTTCTGCTCTTTTTTCTAACCCCGAGTACTCACATATGTACTACATACCTGCATCTACACCCATCCTAATTTTTTTCTCTGATATTTCACTGGAAAAGGTATTTTTTTCCCTGTCTAGAGCTACCCCTAACACCTACATTTAGAATTATGGTTGAAGACTAATTGAGTTGGCTGGCGCTTTGTAAGAGGTAGATGATTTTTCTTTCCCTGTTCCACCTCCTATTATATCCATTAGCCTATCAATTTCTTCCATTTTACATCCTCACCATAGTTACATTAATATGCTTAATTGTCTCATCTAATACGAGAAAGCCTTTCTTTGAGCTCTTGTACCTTTCTTCCCTCCTTAATATTCGCATATTTTTCTTCTTCCATTTCTGGTCAAGCTCTTTGAAAAAGTTATCTTCATTTCCTCACATTTCATTTAGTCCCCAATTCCCTTAACCTGGTTTCTTCTCCATCATTTCCAAACAAATCTCTTACCAAGTCAGTAATAAACTCCTAACTCCAAAAGACACTGGCTGTTTTTATATTCATCTCTCAGTTTCTCAGCAGACTTTCCTCCTGTGGTCACTTTCTCCTTGAAAGTTTTTCCTATTTTACTTTTATGATACTTCTCTTGTTTTTCACATTCTGACCCTTTTTCCTCTACCAGCCTCTTCCTCTCTGATGTTGTTAAACATCTATATTCTCCAATATATTTTAGTGGATAATTATAATAGAGTGACTATTGGATCAGGTTAAGCAAGAAGGATTCTACTACCTGGGAGCTCCAGGGTGAGTTGGAAAGAGGTGCATCCCGTTGGAGGGAGCTGGGCCAGGGTCCTGCATGGAGGGAAGCTGACTGTGGCATGGCAAAGGGGTGGAAGAGCATGTGCTATAGATGGTGGCAGCAAGGAATGATGGCTATTCCCAACCTTTATTCCATCCCTTTTGTGTACCTACACCTCCCCCCCAAGACACACACATCTTACCTATGTGATTTTAGGAGTTCAAATAAAACCACTGTTGGGCATTTTCTTTTTTATTTGAAAGATTCTGTCAGCAGCCACATTTTTTTTTTCAGAGAATTGACTATATCTGGAGCAAAGAGAGTTGATTTCTTAGTCTTCAAGAAAAAGTATTCCAAGGGCCACATTTCTACTCCTCACTGATCCCATCGATTCATTCACTGAAAAAAAGTTTATTAATGTCTACACTATGCCAAATGTTGTACTACAATAAATTTCCTTGTGTTTACATCTGTATGCATATGTATTATGGTTTCCTTGGGATGAGTTTCTACATGTGGAATTATTGAATAAAAGGGTTTCCACTGTTTTTAAAGTGGCTTAGATATAATCCCAGTTTCGAGATTTTGCCAAATTATATTGGATAGTATCACCACTAATCAACAATATTTCTTCCTATGGTATTTTCCTTCAGGATAAAGGGACTAGCCACAATATTGTCTTCAGGATCTTTTACAGGTGGTTACATTCTTTCATAAAGGCTGAAAATACCACCCTTGCTATGGCAACATTAGAGCAAGTGTTTCAATGCCTAGGGACCTCGAGGGTCCCCAAAAACATTTCCTGAAGAGACACATTTTTTGTTTGCATCTGGACAGCTGAAGACATTTAATTCTCAGATTCTTGACCTGATTTGAATCAAATGGGCATGGGAAGACTCATTTCACCAGACGTGTTAGGATACTTCTTACCATGGAATTGCAAGATCACTAAGGAATCCTGAGGTCTTGTCGCAGCTCTGGGGGTTAGTTTCTCATTTGTAAAATAAAAAGTTTGCACTAGGTAATTTCTGAAGCCGTGTTAGGATACTTCTTACCATGGAATTGCAAGATCACTAAGGAATCCTGAGGTCTTGTCGCGGCTCTGGGGGTTAGTTTCTCATTTGTAAAATAAAAAGTTTGCACTAGGTAATTTCTGAAGCCCCTCAACACTACCAATGTATTTTGTCCAAAGTGACTTTTTATTCTTCCTCTTCCTGGACACCTGTCTTATTTCTCCAGGCACTTTTGTTTGTGTTTCTTAGATCATCTTCCCAAGGGAAGGAAGCCCAAGTGCCACACAAGATGCTTGTGCTTCATGGATCCCAGAATCTTCAGATTCTGTATGAATCCTTGGAAAAGAACATCCCTGAGTCCCTGAAGGTAAGGGAGAATGGGAAGAGCCGAGAAGAGAGGGCTGAGGTGTGAGGATGATTCAGGACTCAGAATCATCCTGGACAGATGGAAATCCAAGTGTGAAGTTAGAACTTGTCTGCACAGATGATGTCAACATTCATATCCAGTCAATCACCTATGTTGCTTCTTTTTTGACCTTTTAATCATCTTCTGAATCCATTTTACTGTTATCTCTAGCAGATTTCCTTATCCCCTCCATGTATTTGCAATATCTCCCTGTCTTTATTTATTTATTTATTTTTTCCTTTTTGTCTTTTTTCGTGTCCGGCAACGGACTGCAACCCTCAGTGTCGCGCCCGTACCGGACCGGGACCGGCAACGGGATCGCAACCCTCGGTGCTGCGCCCGCCCCTCGCTCAGCCAGTGAGCGGGAACTGGTCTGTATGTGGGATCCGAACCCTCGGCGGGAGCGCCGCCGCGCTCCCAAGCGGCGCACTGTAGCAGTGTGCCACGGGTTTGGCCCTCTCCCTGTCTTTAATCTCACTAGCCCACCTGCAGCTTGGTGATGAGAGTCACCTGTCTGACACAAAAGTGATCATAACACTCCCTTTTTTTGAAATTTACAGTTGCGGTTCATCTCCAAGTCATAAAGTCCACACTCTTTCACTGGGTTACAGAGTTTGTCATAAAATTCCCCAGCCTTTTATATTTCATCTCCCAACATTCTCCTGCCTTATACCACATGCTACAACCACAGAGTCCTCACAGTTCAGCAGTTATGATATCATGGGCCACACCTCCAAGTATTTCACTCATGCTTTTTTTACTACCTGAAATAACTTGCCTTCATTCTATCTTTATTTTGTCATGAAAATACTTTGCTATCTATCAAGACCCAATTCAAATATTGTTTCTTTTTTCTAATTTTTTTAAATTTAAAATTAAATTGCACATATTTGTGAGGTGTTGTTCAATACATGCATGTATTGTTCAAAGAAAATATAAATGTTCAGGGGATAGATATGTTATCTACCTTAAGTGAATTAAATATAATTTCTTGTGTAAATCTCTCCACTTCTTAGACAAGTAGTGCATTTCCTTCTTGGGATCCAACATCACCATGTGCATCCATCTATCAGAACACGTGTCCAATTGTGAATGGACTATGTGTCTCTCTATACTTTTAAACTTAACTTGAAGGCAGTGATGGCTTTATATTCATCTTTGCATTCTCCATACTTAACACAAGTCTTGTATATAGCAGATAGCAAATAAATGGTATGATATGAAATTTTTTAAAATGAGAAAAAATGGTGTGAATTTTAAAAAATGAATGAGTGAATGTCAGGAAAGCCAGTTCCTAATAATCCAGCTATTAATTTGGATCTTGGGGGGACACTCATTGTGCCTTCTTGTGGCACAACACCTTCCAATGAGGAGACCAATGAGGTAACCTGGAAGCCTGGGCTCCGTCCTATCAAGTCCTTCTAACTCTTGGCTATCTCAGAGAAAAAATTCATCTTCTCCTTTTTTGTTCTGTTGCTCTTACAGGTATATGGTGCCATTTACAACATTAAAAATAAAAACCCATTCAACATGGAGGTGCTGGTGGATGCCTGGCCAGATTATCAGATGGTCATTACTCGGCCTCAGAAAGAGGTGGGAGCAATAGTTACTGAATACCAGGCCAGTCACTCACAGGATGTTATCTGTGTGGCAATGAAGGAATTGAAGCTTGGGGCTGGAGAAAAGAACCTTGGCACCTCTGATGCATACAGGTTTTGGAAGGGCTGTTTGGGGGAATGCTTGGGGGAGGGTGTAAGATAGTGAGATAAAGCTTGGACTTTGATTCAATGGCCAATAATCCAGGACTTGTAAATAACATTAGGACCTCATATGGTCAGTTTTTTCCATCATGATTCTGATCATAGGCATATATTTCAACATAGACTCCTGTGGTTGGAAATGGTTAAGAAGTGTTTTTGTGTGCAGGGACTCCCAAGGGGAAGTTCCAACAGCAGAGGGTAAAAAGGCTTCTAAAGCCAGATTTGGGCTCAGGTACTACTGTGAGTTCTGGCAGGATGGCTCTTTCCAAAAGTCCGCTCTGTCTATTCACATACAAACCCAGAGCCAATCACTGTGCCAGCCCCAGAGTGCTGAGTCAGAATTTTCCCAGGTGCTGACTCATCAAAACCTCAGAGCCTTGAGCCCAACCCTTATCCCTATACTTTTCTTCATACCTTAGGCTCCCTCTCTTTTTGACCCTTAACATACACCATTTCTGGTACATTTTCCATCCCAGAAAATGGAGCTACTTACTCGCCCTCCCGAGGACAGCTGACCTAAGTGCTTCATCAGAAAGGAACCATCTTCAGTGTATCAATAGTAGTTTATTTTTTCAAGTGATTCCAAGGCGATTTTCTGCACCTTTATCAGAAAAAAATAGAGGGTATCAAACATCTCTAGCACTCTAGACCTATGCAAGAACATTTTGTGAATTATAGTGCTATGTAAATATAATTGACATTTGTTATATCAGGAGATGAAGGATGACTTGGATCATTATACCAACACTTACCACATCTTCACCAAAGCTCCTGACAAGTTAGAAGAAGTCCTGGTATGCCCCCAGGTTATCAATTGGGAACAAGTTTTCCAGATCCAAGGTAACTAGTCCAAGTTAAAAGGCAAAGACCCATGTTCCATTCAGAGCAGTTGTGGAAGGGGCGAAGCAGTAGCTGTCCTTCTTCTCTCTCCAGGTTGCCAGGGGTTCTTGGATGAGGCAATAAGAAAGATTTCAGCCTCAAAATCAGTGCAGGTGGATTACTTGAAGACTGCACTCTTCAGGCTAGAAACACCAAGGAAACACAAGACTTCAAGTGATGAAAAGATGGAATTGACAGAGCTATTTAAAATGCACAAAGTGGATGAAGATAAGAAGTGAGATTTTATCTTTTACTTCCCAAATTCCAGATACATTAATTCATTTTTTTATTGGTTATGAATATTCATGAGATACAAAGCTGATTGTCACACCTCATGCCCATGATGTAAGGGCCAGATTCATACTGGCAGCATACCCATCACCACAAATTGCATTTTTACCCGTGTCCCCCACGCACTTATCCCTCTCCGTCCCCCTTTACCCCCCACTCCACTTTGTAGCCCAAGGAATGTTCTCTCTCTCTGAAGGTCCAGTGCACCACTGTGGTCTTTCTTTCCTTCCTTCTTTCTCTCTTAGCTTCCACATATGGGTGAGAACATGTGGTATTTATCCCTCTGTGCTTTGCTTATCACTCAACATAAGTTTCTCCAGGTTCATCCATGTTGTTGCAAGTAGGAGTATTTCATTCTTTTTTATGGCTGAGTAGTATTCCATGGTGTATATATACCACAGTTTCCTTATCCAAACATCTATTGATGGGCATTTAGGTTGGTTCCATGTCTTGGCTATTGGAAACAGAGCTGTGATGAACATGGGAGTGCAGGTTTCCCTTTGACATGATGATTTCTATTCTGCTGGGTATATACCCAACAGTGGGATTGCTGGATCATGTGGAAGACCTATCTGTAGTTGTTTGAGAAACCTCCATACTGTTTTCCATAGTGATTGTACTAATTTACAGTCCCACCAACAGTGCAGGAGTGTTCCCTTCTCTCCACACCCTCGCCAGTATTTGTTATTCACCATCTTTTTGATTATAGCCAGTCTAACTGGTGTGAGGTGGCATCTCAATATGGTTTTAATTTGCATTTCCCTGTTGACTGGTGATGTTGAGCATTTTTTTCATGTACCTGTTGGCCATTTGTATGTCTTCCTTTGAAAAATGTCTATTCGGCTCCTTTGCCCATTTTTAAATTTATTTGTTTTCTTTACAGTAGAATTGCTTGAGTTCCTTATATATTATGCATATTAATCCTTTGACAGATGCATAAAGACTATACTTGGAAATGTAGTATCTGAGACTAAATTATGAAGGGGTATACAGTTGCATAGGTAAAGAAGGGAACTATGTTAGTTAATGTTTGCTGAGCATGGGCAAAGCCTTCATTAGATAAGGTCCTTTACATATATTAACTCACTTAGGCCTCACAAGAGTCCTTCTGAGAGGGTATTGGACATTATGGTGACACTGAAAAATGTTTACTTAAATTTTCTGTTTTACAAATGTACTACATAATATAGAAAATACACAGGTATACAAAGTAAAATGTAAAAGTCTGTCCACTTAGGTTCCCCTCAATCTTACTGCCAGGAGTAAATCTTCTTGACTTTGGTATGTAAGTTTTTAATACTCTCTGTGTGTGAGTTGTTCTTATTTTATTTTTTTTCCACAACATATGCAACTTCTGCAATGAATATACTCTTAAAAAGATCATTGCAGAGTTGTATAAATATTTCCAAAAGCCAAAGTCCTAGAATTAAAATGGTTGGGTCAAAGAATATGTATATTAAATGAAAGATATTACCAAACTAGATGGTGAGACTTTGATGAATTTGATTTGCAATAGCATAACATATGAAACAACCTAAATATCCATTAATAGAAAAATGAAAACATTTATTATGGTACATCACCAAATTGGAATACTATGCAGCCATCAAAAAGAATGGAGCAGCTCTTTGTGAACTTACAAAAAAAGACTTCAAAAATATATTGCTAAGTGAAAAGAAAGATGACTAACATGGACAGACAGCATATATAGCATGTTATCACTTGTATAAATAAACAAATTTATGTACGCATCTAAAATTGCATAGAATACATCTGGAAGGTTACACAAAATATGTTGGTATTAGTGGTTGCCTCTAGAGAAGCTAACTGGATAATAAGACATCAGAGAAAGAAGAAAGGATTACTTCAAATTAACAGTCCATTTATGCTTAATAGTTGTATTACTAATTCAAAAATTTAATTAAAATCTAAACACACAGTCACACAATTCAACTGATTTAGCCAGGAGAACTAACAACATTCAAATTCTGCTTTGGCCCACCTGTGTTCCCCTAAGAATCTTAAGAGAAACATATGCACAGGGGAAAATGGTAAATTGAAATTAAATAATACCTAACATTAAAAATCTGGAAATCTGGAATGAAGTACCTCCTCTAAAGTGACTCTTTCCTCTAAGCCCAAATGTGTATCTTGATATCTTGCCACTCTACATTTGGTTATGCAGGAGGGAGAGGAGGTGAGGATGCTTAAGATCTTTGAGGAAGCAGGTCCAGGATCAGGTCAGACATGGAAGAGAAAAAAAAAAAAGTTTCACCACGTGTAGAAAATTTAGTGTCTTCTGACTGCCCTCTGGCAAACATGGAGTGATTCTGAAACTGACAAATTTCTCAAAATTCTTCTTCCCCGGACAGGGGTAAACCTTTGAGATTTTCTCCGTTTTCCATTCAGCGGATGTTATTGTGACTTTACAGATGAGAAAACTGAGTCTCAAATAACTTGTCCAATAAGAGAATCAGTGGTTAGAATCCCAGTAGTTAGCACCAAAAATCTAATATTCTTTTTCCTACATTGGTGTTTCTTAGATGCATTTTTAGTACTTCGCTAGAGGTATGTGGTGATGGCCTTTGGTACACATGAAGATCAACATGCCTCTCACCTTCCTGTGGCATACATTTTATTGGGATATCTGTGGATAGAAATATTACTTGTATATTTAGATATTTTGTGAAGCAAGATTCAAAAACCACATATTTCATACATAGGTCTTCAAAGAAGAGTCAGTCATGTAATTTATACCCTAGCTTCTTCAGGAACATGTGTTCATCTTCCTTAGGGAATTTGGACTTTTTGAGATGTGCTCTACTATATCATGTTGACTGTCTGCTATCAAATGTAAGGTACACAGTGTCCCACTCCCTGCCTTCAGTTATTTGGGGACATTTAGAAGCATATATATCACTGCTGTCATGTTTGCATAACAACATTTCGGTCAACAATGGGCCACATATACAGTGGTGGTCCCATAAAATTATAATGGAGCTGAAAAATTCCTATCGCACAGTGACAACATAGCAGTTATAACATTGTAGTGCAATGCATTACTCATGTAGGAGCAATAAGCTATACCACACAGCCTAGGTATGTAGACCATGCTATCTGGTTTCATGTAAGTATGATGTATGGTGTTTGCACACGATGAAGTCTCCTAAGAATGCATTTCTCAGAATGTATTCCTGTCTTTAAGTGACACATAAATGATTTCTCCTCTAGGCTGTAGGATCCTCAAGTGAATGGATGGCATCTTGTTTATTTTCTGCAATCCCAGTATTTGGTAAATATTGACCGAATAAATGCACTTTTTTTCTTGACAGGAAAGGAAACTCTCTGAGCATTTTCTTGGATCCCTCACATGCAGGCTTTGTAAATGAACAGTGGGAATTTGGGAAAAATGAGAGGAGCTTGAAATACATTGAACGCTGCCTCCAGAATTTTCCAGGATTTGGTGTGCTGGGTCCGGAGGGGCAGCCTATCTCTTGGCTTGTCATGGAACAGTCCTGTGAGTTGAGAATGGGTTACACTGTCCCCAAATATCGAGGACAAGGCAACATGTGGCAAATGGGCTATCACCTGGAAAAGTATCTTTTTCAGAAGAAGACACCAATTTATTTACATGTAGCAGATAATAAAGAGAAAGTGCAAGATATAGCAAAAGGTTTCGGGTTCATGGCTAGCCCTTGTGGCTGGCATCAGTGGAAATGTACCCCCAAGAAATATTGTTGATTAGAGCCATTGTTCATTTCACACCTTTCCTATCAGTGGAAACATATTCATACAAACAAGAGCATGGTGATCTACATTAGCCACAAAAGGCATCCAATTATCTGGGGTCTGTGTGTTCCTTAAGCCCACCCTTATATAACATTTTTTGTCCTCCTTTTTCATATGCTCACAGAAAATAGAAGCGCCCCTCTTTAGGGTCATACTTTTCCTTTATAGTTACAGAGATCTTGGATTTCAAATCACCCAATGCCAATCATGAGTACCAAGAGAACTCTTTAAAAGGGATACTTTCTTTCCTTGAAGACTTCTTTGATGAAAGAATTCTCTTTGTTTATGCTTTTGTGTCTGAAAATAAAGTCTACTTTGAAAAGTGTCTTCTCTGGTATCCTTCCCTTTCTCCTACAAAGTGCTCCAAATGATCTGTCAAAATACCTTAGCTTCATTGCTTTTGATCCTGGGTACCCTCTGAGGAGCTTTGAGACATTCTATTAAATTAAATTATGTGGCCATGAGTGAAAGTTCAGTTTTCTTTTTTATTTTTTTTTCCTTTTTTTGTCTTTTTTCGTGACCGGCAACGGATCGCAACCCTCAGTGTCGCGCCCGCACCGGACCGGGACCGGCAACGGGATCGCAACCCTCGGTGTTGCGCCCGCACCTCGCTCAGCCAGTGAG